AAGGTCTGGATCCGAGGGAGACCACTGTTCCACAGATAGCTGGATGTGAGTCCCTTTTTGTGAAGTGGGGCCGTGGAGTACAGATGGGCTTGTTGATCACATACCTGGCTCCCTGCCATGTAGCAACGGCCCTGCCCGAGCTGCTCAACATCATAGTCGAGGTGGCGGTTGATACCCCCAGACTTGTAGTCATGGGGGATTTCAACCTGCCATCTATCGGCGAAACATCTGAGGTGGCTCGAGAGTTCATGGCTTCCATGACGGCCATGGACCTTACTCAGTTAATTCATGACCCCACTCACACGGGCGGACACACTCTGGACTTAGTCTTTGTCTCTGGTCAGTGGTCGAATGGCCTTGATATAGAGGATATAGTCATCGAACCCTTGTCATGGTCTGACCACTTGCTCCTTCGACTGGACTTTCTAACTGCTGCACCTCGCTGCAGGGAGGTGGGACCGACAAGGTGGTTCCGCCCCAGGTGCCTGATGGATCCTGATAGGTTTCAGATGGAGCTTGGGCCATTCCCTGAGACTCTGGCTCATGACTCAGCTGAAGACCTGGTGGCCGCCTGGGATAGTGCAGCCACCGGGGCCTTGGACCGCATCGTGCCTTTGCGGCCTCTGACCCGGCACCGAACTCACCTAGCTCCTTGGTTCTCCGAGAAACTGAGGGAGATGAAGAGCTGGAAAAGATGCCTAGAGAGTAGTTGGAGGACCAGCCACTCCGAATCCGACCGAACACTGGTGAGGTCTCATATTAAGACCTACCTAGTGGCGATAAAAGCGGCGAAATCTAGCTATTTTGCCGCTCTTATCGCGTCATCAGATAATCGCCCAGCCGCCCTGTTTAGGGTGACCCGCTCCCTCCTCCATCTGGGAGTGCGGGATGACCCCTTGCAGGGTCGAGCTGAGGATTTTGTGCAGTATCTGCATGACAAGATTGCTCAGATTCGGGAAGGGCTGGCCTCTGACTGGGTATGTCCGGACGGGATGACTGAGGCAGGTCTTGAGAGCGTTATCTGGGAGGAATTTGATCCTCTGGCTCCCAAGGACATGGACAGGATCCTGGGACGGCTGAATGCGACGTTTATTGGACCCATGTCCCTCCTGGTTGGTACTGGCTTCCTGGGAGGTTACATGAGGCTGGCTCCAGAGGATTGTTAACGCTTCTCTGAGTGAGGGGGTCCTGCCGGCCGCTTTGAAAGAAGTGGTGGTGAGGCCCCTCTTCAAGAAGCCCTCTCTGGATCCGGCTGTTTTGGCTAACTATCGTCCAGTCTCCAACCTTCGCTTTGTTGCGAAGGTTGTTGAGAGTGTGGTGGTGCGGCAGCTTCCCCAGTACCTGGATGAAGCTGTCTATCTAGACCCGCTCCAGTCCGGCTTCCGGCCTGGGCACAGCACAGAAATGGCATTGGTCACATTGGTGGATGATCTCTGGAGGATTCAGGATAGGGGTTGCTCCTCTATCCTGGTCCTGTTAGATCTCTCAGCAGCTTTTGACAGCATCGACCATGGTATCATGTTGCACCGGTTGAACGGGCTGGGGGTGGGGGGGCACCGTTCTGCGGTGGTTCTCCTCCTACCTCTCTGACCGGTCGCAATGTGTGTTGACAGGGGGGCAGTGGTCGACCCCAAGGCACCTTGCTTGTGGGGTGCCACAAGGGTCGGTCCTCTCGCCCCTTCTGTTCAACATTTATGTAAAGCCGCTGGGTGAGATCATCCGTGGCTTCGGGGTGGAGTTCCATCAGTACGCTGACGACACCCAGCTGTACATCTCCACCCCAGGCCCACCGATGCCCTTGAAATGATGTCCCAGTGCCTGGAGGCCGTGCGGGCCTGGATGGGGAGAAACAGGCTCCAACTCAACCCTTCCAAGACCGAGTGGCTGTGGCTTCCGACGTCCAGATATAGCCAGCTGGTGCCATCGCTGGCTATTGGGGGCGAATCACTGGCCCCCACGGAGAGGGCTCGCAACTTGGGTGTCCTCCTGGATGCACGGCTGTCTTTAGAAGAGCATATGACGGCCATGGCCAGGGGGGCTTTTTATCAGGTTCGCCTGATACGCCAGTTGCGTCCCTTTCTAGATCGGGACTCCCTATGCACGGTCACTCAGGCACTCGTCACCTCCCGCATGGTGCACCTGGAGGCTCCAGCTGGTCCAGAATGCAGCCGCGCGGGGGATTATGGGAGCGACGGGGCGCTCCCATGTGACACCTCTCCTGTGCGAGCTGCACTGGCTCCTGGTGGTCTTCCGGGTGTGCTTCAAGGTGTTGGTAACCACCTTTAAAGCGCTCCATGGCTTAGGGCCGGGGTATCTACGAGACCGCCTTCTGCCACCAATAGCCTCCCACCGGCCAGTACGCTCGCACAGAGAGGGCCTCCTCAGGGTGCCGTCCGCCAGACAGTGTCGGCTGGCGACCCCCAGGGGGAAAGCCTTCTCTGTGGCGGCCCCCGCCCTCTGGAACAACCTCCCCCCAGAGAAACGTACAATACCAGACCTCCCGACTTTTCATCGGGCCCTGAAAACTTATTTATTTCACCTAGCCGGGCTCGCTTGATCCCACAGTTTTTGGTTAAATTTAACTGATTTTAATTGGGTTTGTTTTAAATTGCGGCCAAAAATATTTAATTATTTTAAACTGTTTTTAAATTTTGTATGTTCTGTTTTTTATTCTGGCTGTTCACCACCCTGAATCCGGCTGGAGAAGGGCAGTATACAAATTGAAACAAATAAAATAAAAAAATTTAGAACCCACCCCTGGTTGGGGGTCACCACAACATGAGGAACTGTATTAAAGGGTTGCGGCATTAGGAAGGTTGAGAACCACTGGGCTAGAAGATCTCCAAGGTCCCTTCCAACTCTGTTATTCTAGTCTAAAAATGAACGAGATTCCAATCAGTTCGTCACTTCCATGTACTATTAATACTGCACACATAAAGAGCAGGGACAGCAGCTCATGAATAGTTCATGTAATTGACAATTATGGTTCAAATTAAAATGGCAAGACAAAATAAGGTCTACTAATGCTATTAGTATAATAACTAACACTTTTTTGTAAAAAAAAATCAGGTCACCTTTTCAGGTCATTAACAATTACTCCCATATTGAAACATCTGTTTGGATAAATTTAGGCATCTGAAATTAGGGTGATAGAAATTAACTTTCCCATTGCAGGGTATTTTGGCTTTTCCATGCTCCATGCTACATGGAGACTTTGAAATCACAATGAACAAGATATGTGAAATTAGAATGAAATGATTTCTTAAATCAGATTTATAGACGTGTCATATATAGGTTAATAAGAAAAATCATAATTATATAATACAAAGTATCAACCACCCATGGTAAGAAAGTTTTATTTCATCAGGGCTTCAACCTCAGCTAATTTTATTAGTGCTCAATTTGCTATCGTGTGGCGACCAATAAATTTAATATTATAAATAAAATAATTTTGATGTGTTGTAGCCCTCGTGAAGTGTTTTGATTTGACCTGGCTATAATTGTAAAATTAAAAACAATCAATATAGCATAAGAATACACAATTACAATATCACAATTTGCTCCTAGAAGCATAAAGCCGAAAACACCAGCCTGAAGATGATGAATGAGACTTCGTCGAAACGTCACCAAGACACCTCCAATTTTACGTGGGAGAAAACCCAAATAACCAAAGACCTACATACAAACACCCGCGAAAACCTCAGAAAACAAATTACAATATCCTATCAACGTTCTAAAGCCTTCTGAAAAAGCTCTATTTTAACCAACTTCTGGAACACTATTACATGGACTAATATAACCTTTAGTAAAAGCAGTTGCAATGAGTTGGTGGGTTTAGATGTCTTAACTTCAATCACTTCATGAAAACAGGGAACCATTAGCAGTTTCTACCGTAGTTGGATAAAATAATTCTGCAAGTACCTAGGTGCCAAATGATAAATAGCATTAATAAATAATAAATAAATGTCATTTATTTCTTAATTTGCCTCTATCACAACACCATAATTGGGACCAGAGTTTTAATTGTAAAATGAATCATATGACCAGACACAATTTTATTATGGTTATTAAGCAAATCACATGGCTGTTAAGTAAATCCAACTTTTCCAATGAATGTGGCAAAAAAGGTCACAAATTGTGATTACATGACCACAGGTTTCTGCAACACATCGAGCCAGTTGCCAAGTGCCTAAACTGAAATAACACAATTTTGGAGATAGTAACTCTCATAAATCCAAGAACAGGTCATAAGGTACTTTTCTGAGGCCATAGTAACTTTGAATTATTGTTAAATGGTTTTAAGTTCAAAACTACCTGCATTTCTTATATCCAGAAATCACCCTGAAAAAGTTTAGACCCATTTCATTTGCTCAAGACAAATATAGTCAGAACAGAACAATATGCTATGTTTTTTAAAATATTTTTGTACACAAATTTTACATGAATAAAAATAAAAAAAATAAGTACAAAACAGTTATAATGAAAGAAAAAATGCAAAAAGGAAAAAAAGGCACAATGTGGTAGTATATGTTCAAAATACCATAAAAGAGTATCTGGGTGGATTTGGAATTAAATCAAGTTGATTTAAATATGATTTAAATCAATAGTAAAAAGGCTTGATTTAAATCAAGTTGATTTAAATAATAATTTTTAAAGAGCAACTGTCATCTGTCTGCAGCAGATGACCTGCTGTTGACTCACCCACAGTCCCATTCACTTTAATGGGACGGCTGGTGATGCGGCAGTGACACAACAAAGTGGGGAACATGGCAGGCAGCAGGTGAGTGGATGCCCACTAATAGGCACTGCCATGATAGATCTGAAATGACAGATGCTCTTTAAATGTAAGGAGTCATTCTTGCTGGTAGTTAGAATCTTTAACAAAGTGAAGATTTCCTATTTAGCTTGCAGAGCTTGGATTCATTGAGTTTACCAAAAATGTAAATATTGCATAATATACAGCTTCATGCTACATAACTAAGCTCCAGTTAAGCAATTACCTCAGCATAACAGAAAAGTCAAACTTCCGCCGAAAGGGAAGTACCATCTGCAAGCTCTTCTTCCCCATCAAAAGCGCGAAGAAACCGGGGCAAAAGGAGCCTCCCGGTCCCTTCCTCCGGGAAACCCACCTCATGCTGTAGGCACCGGCGCCCAGCTCTTGCCCAATGCCGGAGAGGCTGGCATCGAAGTCGTGCGCCAGACCGGACTCGATTACTTCGTCCATCTTCAGCACCCACGCCATCTTCCACCAGTGACTTTAAAAGGTGGTGGCAAAGTCACCACCTGCGGCGGCGGGCCAGGAATGCGTCCGGCCCGAGTCGGAAAAAGAGAACTGAAAAGCAACGCCGGACTTTCGCACTCGGGGGCGAAAACAGGCAAGGAAAAAGAGGTCCCCTCAGCCCCGAGGGAGCCCTCTCTCCTCTGAGAAAGTGAGGCTCGCTGGAGGCAACACCATTACGGCGATTGCCGTTTTCAACCCCATCCTGAACTTCGCACGGCAAACCTAGTCGAGGTCTGGCTGTCTCTTCAAAAACTGTGGCTCAGGCACCGCCGCCTACTGCAGCAGCGAAGGGAACCGCCCGCCGCGACAACTCTGCTGCCACCGCTCCCGCGTGTGCCCCGCCTACCAGGCTCCGCTCTCTCCTCCAGGGGCATGAGCGGTTCCGGTGTTGGCGTCCCCGCCTCCTTCCTGCTGCGTTTCAACGCGGGGACACGTCTATAGCAGAGCACGCACTACCAGATGGCAATGTCCTCTTATTCGGCCGTCCCTCCGGCTGAGGCAAGGACCGCGGGCGGTGATTGCTTGGAGCTAACCTATGGGCAGTGTATGCTGACGAATCAGACACTTAGTAAAGGGGAAAATTATTTTCTTTTAAGCCAATCAAAAAATCCTCCCGTCTCTCTTGGCTGTTTGTTTAAGCTTCTCCTTCACGCTGTCTTCTAATCTGATCTGACTACAAAATGCAGGTGCAATGTGATGACAGAACCCGTTTAAAGAAAGTGAATGTAGCTTTAGGGACACACAATGGTCTGTTCTGGAAACAATTTACAGATGCATTGCAGATGCAACCTTTTATTGGGGGTATGGAATGCAGTGAATGTTCCAGTCACTGTTGACTCCTGGTGATTGTCTGGATTGAACAAGATTTTAGAACAGCCCTTGTAATAATGCCAGTCTCAGAAAGTCTATGTATTTAGTCAGTTCCTAGGATATGGCCTGATGAGTCAAGGACAGCGGTGAAATCCGGCTGGATCTATCCAGCTCGCACGAGCCGGTAGAGCTGGCGGCGGGAGGCTCCGTCCACCCGCTAGGATGTTATCATGTCCCATTTTTGACTCTGCGCATGCGCAGAAGAGGCACACATGGTCACATTTCCTAACCAGTAGCGAAGGTAAGTGCATTTCACTGCTGGTCAAGGACAAAGGTTAACAGTAACAATCAGGCTGGCTCATCGCAAATTTCTTAGGTTCTGTTATAATGGCGCTCATTTTCAATATTGAGCGTTACCCTTTGGTCTATCGTCCGCCCCTTGCACTTTCACTAAGCTCTTGGACGCTGTAGCCACGCATCTGAGAGCACGGCTGGTCAGATTGCTCTGTTACCTGGATGATATCCTAATTCTTTCTTCCTCGTCCCAACAGGCAGAAATCGATCTACAGGCGTCACTCAGACCATTCCAGGAGCATGGCTTCACCATCAACTGGGAGAAAAGTCTTCTCTCTCCCTCTACAGAGGTCGTCCACTTAGGGGCTCGCATCAACACCGTTTCTGGTCTTGTTTTCCTTTCTACAGAGTGCATAGTCACCATTCATCAGGCCGTGAAGCCTGAGGCCCTCAGGACAGTATCTCTTCTCTCTCTGTCCCAATTGTTGGGGCTCATGATCTCCTGTTTGTCTATCATTCCATGGACGCGGTTACACTCCCGTCCCCTCCAGTGGCTCCTCTTGCCCTGTCAACGATCCTGCACCAGTGCCTCGACTCATCGGATCAGGGTACGTCAAAAGGTTTGGCATCTCTACGATGGTGGAGGTCTCCTGCCCTCGAGAGAGGCAGCCTTTTCCACGAACTCCCACATCTAGTTCTCACCACAGATGCCAGTCTGTTTGGATGGGGGGCCCACTTCCAATCCCATGTCACTCAGGGTCGCTGGTCCCACAGAGATCTTCAGAATGACATCAATTGATTGGAGTTGCGCGACGCACATCTGGCGCTCCGTCACTTCCAACATCAGCTGTCTGGCCATCACGTACTTCTACAAATGGACAATGTGACAGCAAAGGCCTATGTGAACAGACAAGGGGGCACTCGCTCCAGAGTCCTGATGTGCGAGGCCGCGGAACTGGGTCGCTGGGCGGAGACTCATCTTCTCTCTCTTCATGCTGAGCACATTTCCGGCGTCTCCAACACATGCATGGACTGGCTGAGCAGGACTACTCTCGATTCCGCGGAGTGGCAACTGCTTCCCGAGATTTTTCTACAGATCACGACCATCTTCAGACATTCTCAAGTGGACCTCTTTGCCAGTTCCATGAACATGCAGCTCCCATGTTTCTTCACCAGGTATTAGACACCTGGAGCCATGGGGACCGACGCCTTCCAATGCCAATGGCCTGCTTTCCGCCTTTCCGCTGATACACTTGATTCCCAAGATTCTCAGGAAGGTCCTGCAGGAGGGTGCGGATGTTATCTTCGTTGCGCCGTACTGGCCTCACTGGAGTTGGTTCACGGATCTTCTGAGTCTGTCCTGACCCCTCTTTGGCGGATTCCCCTGGATCAAGTTTCTCTCCGTCAGGGAGCCGTCTACCACTCGAACCCTCAGTGGTTCCAGCTAGCCGCTTGGAACTTGAGAGAGAGATTCTGAAGCACGACCACTTTTCAATGAGGTGATTGGCACTATTCTTGGCTCTCACCGTAGCACTACGGTTTGTATCTACAAAGCGACCTGGTCTGCGTTTACTCGCTGGTGCGCCAGGAGGAGTACAGTTCCTGTGTCCGCACCCATTTCCAGAGTTTTAGAGTTCCTTCAAGACGGATTGGCCTCCGGTCTCGCTGCCAATACCTTGCGTCAGCAAGTGGCCGCCCTTGCGACCGTTCTGGCTGCTAGAGGTTCTCCCTCTCTGTCCAAACACTCATGTGTCCGATCATTCCTACGGGGTGCGGCTAAACTCCGGCCACCTACAGTGCATAGGTACCCCTCCTGGGACCTCCACCTTGTTTTACAGGCCCTGACAGAATCACCCTTCGAACCATTGGGATCGGCCTCATTAAAGCTTCTAACTTTCAAAGTTTCCTTCCTGGTAGCCATCACTTCCACACGTCGCATCTCGGAGTTGATGGCACTCTCGGTGCATGACAATCTATGCGTATTTCATTCCAACCGGGTGGTCCTCTGGCTGGATCTCACCTTTTTCCCAAAAGTCAACACCTGCTTCCACCGGGCCCACGAGGTGATCTTACCTGATTTTTGTCCCAAGCCCAGGCATCCCTCCGAACAGCGCTGGCACTCCCTGGATGTCCGAAGGGCTCTACAGAAGTATATTGACAGGACTGCTTCGATTCGAAAGTCGGAATCCTTATTCATTTCCTTCCAGGCTGCCTCTCTGGGTTCCAGAGTGTCGTCAGCAACCATAGCTCGGTGGCTGAAGGCCTGCATCTCCATGGCCTATGATCTTCAACACAAGCCTAGTCCTCTTTTTTCCCCATCACCTCTTTCATCTCTTTTAACTCTTGTTTTATATCATCATGAAGCCATTGCATAAAATTTCTTTGTTCCATCATCTCTGCTGTTTTCTGTGTTTCTGCCGCTGAGGGACTTGATGCAGGATGCAGGTGGGCTGTAAATTTCTTCATTTTAATATTTTATAATCCATTTATGATTAAATTATAATCCAAATCTTTAATCCACCCAATGGTTGAATTAGAGAAAAAAACAAAAAACAATCAACCACCTCCCTTCAAAAATTTAAAATTCCCAATCTCCCATATAAAAATTTAGAAGTAAAATATAAGGAAAAAAAAAAAGGGGGGGAAACCGACCAAAAAAAGAAAAAAAAATAATCCAATTGTCCAGTTGGCACAAATTCAAAAAAATAAAAAGCAAAAATGACAACAGAAAAAAGAGAGACAAAAATCAAATACCTGATAGCCAGAAGAAAAAAAGAAAAGATTTTTCTTCTGACTCTTCATGTCATAATCTAAAGTTTTTAATAATCTGACTCTATTAAGTTCAGTCAAAAGAAAAGAAAAGAAAAGAGGTCTCTGAATATAAGACAAGTCAAGAATAAAAACTTTTTCTTTCCACCAGCAGAACTCAGAAAAAAGTACAAAGCACTTCAAAAAGTTTATAGTAAAATATATAAACTAATCATCCCAAGGGAAAAAAAGGAAGGTTTGTGTAAGATTCAAAGTCCAAAATAGAAAAACAAAAGTAGGAAAAAAGTTCAAAGATAAGTTCAAAAGCCTGTCTCTCCTTCCCAGCTGCTCAATTATCATTCAGCTAAATGTCAAGATCAGTTATTGTTGGGGGGTTTCTTCAAAGAGAATCTTTTCTTTCTTTCTTTTTTAATCTTTTTCTTTTCCCCACTGCAGGTCAACCTTTAACATTACACGACACTTTAACTTGTTTTCCTTTGTTGATTCAAAATTGATTCAAAATTCTTTTAACAATCATCCCATTCTATAATAAATTGTTTGTTCAAATGGGATTTCCATCTCCAATTCAATTCATTGTCCCAGTTATTATTAAGTTTAAAAAGGTTTAAAATTCCCCAAATTCTTTCTTCAGTAATAAAACAATAAAACAGTAAAAAGATTTCTAGTTTCACTTGCTTTGCGGCCAATTTAGTGGATGTTAAGAGCTTATACCGCTCTCACTCCTCGCTTTTAGCTAGCCTTTTCCACCTTGTAAATTCTCCAGGTGGGTTTGAAGAGAAACTTTAATAAGGCAAAATCAGAACCCTCTCACCTCCATGTCACATGCTATCTTTCCTGATCTTCTTTTGTTGTTGTAGCTGCCCCTGCTTCGTAGCAACTTCTTGGTCACTTTCTTCACTGTCCGAATTGAGGAGCTTCTTCCAGTCTTTCCAGGGAGTTTGCAAATTCCCTGTGCTGACCGGTATGTGCTCTTGTTTGTCGTCACTACGAGACGACTTAGATCCCTGGGGACCCTTGGACAGCGGAGATATCAACAAGTCCTTGAGAGCACTCGAAGAGCCTGTCTTTCCGCCGGGACATTGGTCATACCTCTCCTGTTGGTGGTTTCTTGATATCTGTTGATGTATTGATCAAGATATATGTATGTTTGTATGTATGTATGTATGTATGTGTTATTCTGTTTAGGGGTTGTGTTGGTTGTGCTGTATTGGGTTGAGTGATCAGGCACTTTTTGATAAAAGTTATGTGGATATACATTTTTGGGGAATATGTTGCATAAATGCCGTTTCCTTTTTCTGCTGTTCAAGGTCCTCACTGCAGCAACCCTAAACAGCAGAAAATGAAACAGATTATTTATTCATTTATATTGAATATTATATTCAATATGGACAATCTTAATCATAGTTTCAATTGGGAAACACTGACCATCATAAACCAAGTCAAGTCCAAAATGCTAGAGAATTTCCAGGGAGAATGGGCCAACTCACCATGGCCAAATCACTGTGGCCAACTTGCTCCGGGCCAATTTGCTGCAGGACAATTCAATAATTCAATTTAATTATTTAAAATAATTTAAAAAATATTTTAATTTTTGTCATTCACATTTCATTTTGTCCCTCCTTTGGCATCCTTGCTTTAATTTTTCTATTTTACCATTTCTTTTATATTAGTGTAACTCTTGTCTGGCAGCGAGTTATCCTGTGGCGAGTTGTGCTAGATTTGTGCTCCATTTCTAGAAGCCTGGCACTCTAACAAATTAACCATCAATAGACACATGGACATAAATAATATCTAGCTATATATAATGTTACAAGCTTAAAAACAAGTAAAAAGACCTAAGCATCTCTCCACCAGAAATCATGGTTAGCCTAACAATGTTCATTTAATAATCAGCAGACTAAACAAATGTATAATATTTAAGAGAGATTTCTGGTGAGAATGTCTAGGCTTCGTGGGGCGGGGGGGGAGTGAAATGGGAATTTGAATTAGCAACAATCGATGTCCAGCTGATTGTGAGGCTTTGGTGGGACCCTTGTAGTCCGAAGAACTGTCTAGAATTAAGGAGAAACCTGGAAATTAATCCCTTTTGTCCTCTGGACGGACAGTGCTTGAGAACTTTTGTGGTTCTGTGGTGAATGATTGTCTTGAGAAGTAGACCTTCCCTTGTGTTGATTGTGTGGCATAGCTTGAAGAAAGAATTCTAGAATGAACCCTCCATCCCCATTTTAACAAGTTTGCTTTTTATTCAATATGAAGTTCAAATATTATAATTTAGGGGCAAACCAGGCCATTGTGAAAGTTTAATGCTTTATGAAAAATAATCCTTAATGCTGTTTGTTGCAGGGTACTTGTCAGCATTTCCAGAGATCAACCATTGACACTATTTTAGCAGCTAAATACAGCAATACAGTATGTTATTAAATTTTGAATTTGCTGCGCTAAACATTCCAGTGTAAAAATATTTTCAATGGTGTTAACTTCTTTAAAGAATCTTATTGTCATAAATGGAATTTCTCATATTTTTAGCTTTATTCTTTAATACTGTCAAAGTGCCAAATATGTAACTTAACATCAGATATTCTTTAATTACAGTATTTGCTATCCAGCTCTGTGTGTGTCTGTGTGTGCGCCTGTGTGCCCGTGTGCATTCAAGCAGTCTTGACTTCTAATCTAGCAACTGTCTGGAAAAGTCCATATAGTTTTCTTGTTACCATTTTCAAAAATGTTTGAAATCATCAAGCTGATCTAATGCAGAATTAAAATTCATAGTCTTCCAGATTGTAGCTTGATGCCTTTAACCATTATATCAAAGTAGCTCTTCTGCTATCCAGCTACTAGGTTGTAAATTGTAAAGCCCAGTTTTAGTCTAAAAAATAACAACATAGGACTAGTTTTAGTACAGAATCTTATTTTTTCTGGGTTGCTTTTTATTGCTTGTCTTTTTTCGTTGGTTTAGTTTAAAACTAGGCAATATATTTACATAAACTAAGTCACTACCAGTACTATAATGTATTACTCCTACAATATCACTAAACAAAAGCAGAAAAACAGATAGATACAAAATTTAATTTTTCAAGTAATGCTATATACACTTTATTGCCTGTATATCCACAATGGTAAGCAGTGTACTATAAATACACAATGTACTTGAACAGTAATAAAAAGAATGTTACGCATAAGAGAATGAGGAAGAAACGACTATTTTCCTGATTTGCAGCTGCTAAAAAAGCCAGTGATGAATAATGTAATTTCCCCCTTATATTTATTTCTAAAGTTTTTTCCTCAAATAGCTTTTTGCAACAGCAAATTGCATTTTCAATAATTACATTTTATATTTTCCAGTCAGAATAATTTCTGATAAAAGTCAATTCTTATTAGATAGCTGCAAGTATTCTGTTAATTACAAAGTAATAAGCAAATTGTGATATTAATTCTTTTAAAAACAGTATTTGGCTGCATGTTAAGATATTAGACTCTAAACATATATTGTAGTAGCAAAAGAAGAAAAATAAAATAAAAATAATTATTTTATAGACAATGTTTTTCACAAGACATTATGGATAGCAGCTTAGTCAAAAGTATTCACCCTGAAGAGGTAGAGAGAATCTTAGTCTAGCAGAAAAACCTATCATCCTTGGCACTGCTATAATCTCTCCTGTAAATACACAATCCCTAAAACAAGATAATTTAACAAAGAGTTATTCTAGGTATTGTGAGATGCATACAGATCTTATTCTCATCCCCCAGCTAAGACTCTTAGTATTTTTGTCTGAGAAACAGAAATAGATTTATTTTCATTCTCTCTTTGACTATTCATTCCATAAATATAAGGATGCATTATTCACAATAAACTTTTTAAAATGTTACAGAAACAACCTGAAAACATCGCCATATCTTATAGTCCAGATGGCTGCAATAACACCAGTTCAACATAATCTCAAAATAACCATGCAATGAATTTAGGGCCACTTTCCAACTCAAATTAAACTCCCAAACGAGTGGTTTTAAGATCTGTAATACATGAGTTTTCCCATCCCCTATCTTTAAAATAATCAGCGCACCAATCTCCAATCTTGCAACGTATCATTGTGGTAGTTTCCTGCAGTACTGTCATATATTCTTATGTGAATGGGATTAACAGAAGTATTGGTTTCAATAATTAGGCTGAGAGGAAGTATTCTACTGACAAATGGTAGACATACCAAGCATGCTTATACAAAGCATTCTATTCTGAACCATCTTGCTTGAAGATGATACAGGTGATTCATATCCATTAAGTGATTTTGCTTACCCTGATCTAGGAAAGCAAGATGCTATACTATCCAGTTTTGCAATACTATATTCTATATAGATTTCCATATAGGAGGACAGAGTTGTCCTCCTAATATGCATTGAATTTTTGTTTATACGACAAACATTCAATGGTTGATCAATCAAACTTTATGGGCCTGGTCGCTCAACAGACTAAAAGCATTGTGACTAACACCAGCTGTCTGCAATTACTGTAAGTTCGAATCTCACCAGGCTCAAGGTTGATTCAGCCTTCCATCCTTTCTAAGGTAGGTAAAATGAGGACCCAGTTTGTGGGGGCAATAAGATGACTTTGCATAAATATACAAAAGAATGAAGGCTATTGCTTAACGCATTATAAGCCGCCCTGAGTCTCCGGAGAAGACTATAGGCATATAAATCAAATTAAAAAAAAAAAGGACACTGCTTTCTGCTCATATTATTGGCATTATGATAATATATAAAGATGTATCTTCGGTATAGAGACTGGTCTAGTTGCAGTTCATCTCAATCCAACATTCTCTGTCTTCCCACTTTGTGCATCCAAGCAGAAGCATCCCTCCGCAAAAATGATTATTAAAACCAGGAAGGAAAAGCCATGTTACTTTGCAGTTGAGCAAAAATGAGGAAATTTAGACTTGAAAGCATTCCTTTTAATTAGTTTTTTTGAAAAATGAAAATGTACATTAACACTGATAAACATCAATGGAAAGACACACAGACGAGTGCAAACAGAAAACACGATGTGTTAGTTAAAAAAAATAATTTGCTTCAGTCAAGTGATATTAATACTGTCTTTTCCCTTGGATATGGAATTACTGGAACAGTCATATGCAGGCTGAGCAGCCCTTCATTAGGGGGAAAAAGATTGAGAGGGAGAAAAGCTCCAAAAATGCATTTGAGAATTTTCCTTTTATTGATGTGTCTTTCCTCTTAGTTAAAAGATGGATTTCAGGATTATTAGCTTTGTCCTGGAACATCTGCTGAGGCATCACCTGTTCCAGATCCTGTTTGTGCACGCTTGATATAAAGATTCAACAATTTCATCTGCAGATTTAAATTAGTAAATAACATATTTAGTATCAACAACATATTTCATATTAGATTTAAAAAAAATTTTTTAAACTAACAATGAATGAACAACGAACAGTAGAAGAACAATGAAAAAGATTTGTAATGGAATGATATATACAGAGGAAAGAAGCCTAATTAGAGCTATTAAACATACAATAGTTGTATTTTCAAAGGATTAAGGGACAATAAGTTTATTGGCAACAATTCTCAAAATAGTTTTAGTTTATTATATACTGTATAATGATCAATATAACTTAATGATTCAGACAGATAGGGAATAACAGTCCTTTTTTCATCTTCACATTTACAGTATAAAGATAGATGCTTTCAGTTCTAAAGTAATTATTTGTGACTTCTGAATTGGGAGAACTGTAGTTTGTTTGATAATTTCAAAATCTGAAATTATGTTTTGATCCTGCCCATAGTTTAACAAAGCATAGTTTGCAATGTATAAATGGCACAAGAAAATAGGTTGATTTTAAACTGAAAACAGAAGTGTTTAAATCTTCATGGATGGAAACATAAAAAGAAACTCATTATTCTTATATCTACACTATTGATATATGGTCCTATATCTTATATCCAGACCACTGATACATGCTTTAGATGTCAATTATTTGTTTTCAACTTTTTAGTATTGTGATAACTAATTAAGATCTTTTTAAAACAACATCACAATCTTGATTTAAAAAAACAATTTCATTGATTTTACTTCCTTATTTTTTCCTAAGAGCTTAGGTATTTTACACTGAGTGGCATGACTTTTATAAGTGAAAAGCTATAATTTGTAATTATAATTCCATGACTGATAATATTTTTTTTCTTCAGTCAAATGCATGTCTAATCAAATCTATTATAGGTACACTTATGACAATTGAGCCCAAAATTTCTGTTACTAAAAAAATCATTCTTAATTTATTCCATTTTACAATCTTTCTTGCCACAGTTGTTAAGTGAATCACTGCAATTATTAAGTTAGTAACAAGTTGTTAAATGAATTTCTCAATTGACTTTGCTTGACAGAAGGTTGCAAAAGGTGATAACATGACCCTGGGAAATTGTAACTGTTATAATATATGCCAGTTGTCAAAAGTCTGAATTTTAATCATGCGGCCACAGGGATGCTGCAAGGGCATAAGTGTGAAAAATGGTCATAAGTCACTTTTTTCAAATGCCGTTGTAACATCAGTCATTAAATGAATGTAAACCGAGGACTACCTGTAATTGATTTCAAAGGTTTTTTTGAATGCTTATAGAAGAGCTGGTTAAAGGTCTTTGGTCCAGCTACATAAGTATTATTGCATTTAAAAATTGTTTAAATAGCAGCGACCATTAAAAAAGTTTGAAACAAAAGATGACATAAATTCTGTCCAAATAAGATTTTTCTTTATTCAGAATTTAATATACTGTATGTTTGGCATATTACTTGATACTATGGAATACAATCCCAATCTCACTCCACTGGGATTGGCCCATACCACTTAGGCTGGCAGAGGAGGCATATGAGGTTGGCCCCAACCCTCCTATCTTTTCATAAGGGCCTAATGATGTAGCTCTGCTGATTGGCTTGGGGCCCCAGTGGGGGAACAGCAAATGGAGGTGGTTGATTAATAACAGATACAACTTCCCACCCACTCCGCCTTCCCCTCTCCATGTTTTTCTTGGTTTAATGTCTGATTTTCATGTTTTAACTATATGTAACTGTAATTACAGAATTACCCTATAGTAAGATGGACAGCCAATAAATTTTATATATAAATAAATTAAATAAATAAATAATAAATAAATTGTACAAGCCTCTCAGTAATTGGATATTATCAACAGATTGATCATAAATGTCAATGTTAAGATAACTTTTCTGCATTCTATTTAATTAACTATTAATTAAGTATTAACTATTTAATTAACTGTTTAATTTTGCTTTATAGGGTAAATTTCATCTATGATATAATGGCAGTTATTGTTTTTTCTAAATCAGAAATTAATTACTGAAGAGAAAAAAGGGCAGCAAATTTATGAGCACAATGTTTATTCTATAAGACCAAACAGTGGATATATTATGATGCTGTCATGCTTTGTATTTTCTTTATAACATTTTAGCAACTTTTATTTCAAGCATGCTTATTAAATCATTGCATGTAATTTATTATTCTCATTTTTAATAATGTCTATCATTCCACATAGCTCCAAATTACTGAAGACAACTGGTTTGAATGGTACTTTTCCCAATTCTCCTAATTCAAACTATTGTTGAAGAACTGGATATCTGACTTCTATAGAACCGGTAGTAAAACCAGCGGGAGGCTCCGCCCACTGACCCTGACATGTGTCTGATGACGTCAGAAGCATGTGCGCGGCCTTGTTATGAACCGGTAGTAAAGGTATCTAGAACCTACCCCTGTAACAGACAAATCTTACAATATAAAGCTATAATATTCTAGTTTTTCTACATGCCTATAAGATGCTTATGTATAGAGGATTAGGAGCTGAACTATCAGCTTTCCAATTTACAGTCAGAAATAATATAACTGTATGAAGCTACCATGATTTTGCTGTAAAGTTTTAAACTATTTATGTTTTATTCAAATGCTTATAAGGAATCAACAACCATATTAGTTTATATAATATCAGTCTATTTATAACATTTCATTTTCCATATATATCAACATAGTTCATGAAAAATAAAGGGAACAACAGAGTCCCAGATTTAAATAATAGCCAAACTGAGATTCTGAACAAATTTCTGGTCCTAAGACCCTCCCCCCCCCGCTTTTTTTTTTTGAATCTCCACAGATTAGAAAAAGTCAAAATCAGATCTTGGTATAGCATGTCACTTACTTTGCTGCCAGTGAGTTGATTAAGATGTGGCTTCAGCTCATCACCAATTACTGCATGAATAGCTACAAGGCAGAAGACACATGCCTTTCGAACGCTGCTTTCAGAGTTATCATAACCCTAGAAAAGAAGTAATTAAAATGCATATCAATCCAAATAAAACTGATAATCCTAAAACATGTTTGAAAAAAATATATTTCAGTAAAATATTCTATAAAGTTAGAAGATTACTTGAAAAACTGAATAAACTTTGGAAAAATAGTTTTGCAACATTCTTTTCATTGTTCATGATTCTGTATCTTCTTACCTGTATTAAACCTGGCACTATCTCTGGCAAAAGCTGAGCAAGAATTTCTTTAGGTACTCTTTCAATAACTTTGGTCTGCATTTTGATTGCAGCCAGATTTATAGGATAATCTGCTGTTTGAATGATGGGACAAAGTACTTTGATGCACTGATCTGGACTAATAGATGTGGCCAGCATAGTAGCAGCCTCTTCAGCTGATCTTACCACCTAATCAATTAAAGAAAAATATAGAAATCCAATAATATTATACTTGCATAGTTTTATTTTTTTTTAAATGGTACCATGTTTCCCCAAAAATAAGACTGGGTCTTATTTTCTTTTGCCCCCCGAAATAAGTGCTTGGCCTTATTTTCAGGGATGTCTTATTTTTTTGAGTTGCAGGAGGCAGCAAGCGCGATAACCTCATGGCTGCTCAGCCCCTTAACTGTTGCCCGTGGCCCGCAGATCAGCTGAGGGCTGGAAGTTCTGTCACTCTGGCGCCTGGAGATGTTTCTGGCACACTCTTGCCAGTCCTAGCCCTGTCGACCTGGGACTGGGGGGAGTGGGACCAGTGCCGGAGCTCTGAGCAGTGGCCGGTGAAGGCTTTGTCTTTGCAGCCATGAAGCGGGATCGGTGTGGCCAATTCTTGCCCGTAGCATTGCTGGCCAGGATCGGGTCAGAGCCGCTGCCAGCAGGCCAGATTCGGTGAGCCAGACACACTGCCACCGCCCGGGAAGAAAAGAGGGAGAGGAGGCGCTGCGAGAGCCCATTTCTCACGTTCTTCTCCTCCCGGGCGGCTGTGGCGCGTTCAGCTCACCGAATCTGCCTGCTGATCTTGGCTGATGAGTGGGAAAGAGAAAGATAGGGATGAATGAGCGATTGAGTATGTGCCTGTCAGTTGGCTTCCAGTGCCATAGAGGGCAGGGAAGGGAAGCAGCCAGGCTGCTATTGCTTTTCATTGGAGCACGTGGAGTGAGATGGGACTCTTTTTGCCATTTCTTTCCCCCCCACTTGCTGGGCATGGCAGGGCTTCCTGCCCCTCACTTAGCCACCCACCCCCTTTATCAAGGGGGGTGGCAGGTGGGGAGTGGTGGGGCAGGGGAGAAAGGGTATTCCCAACTCCCGGACCAACTGGCTTGTTCCCGGTAGCTCTTTCTCTGCCTTTCAGTGTCGGCCATCAAAACAAGGATTTTTTTGGCAGAAAAGCTTGCCCCACCCACCACCACCCAGGTGCCCTTGCTTCCTCCAAGCCTTTCTTTGCCTTCCGGTACTTGATTTCCAGCTCCATCGTGTTTCTTGCCATTGTGTGCAGGGAAACAAGTTTGTGGGACTACCATAAAAAAAGTTCAATCAATTAATTCTAACTTCTCACAAGAAGTTTTTTTTTACCATTGTCCCACAAACTTGTCTCCCTGCACACAATGACGAGAAATGTGACGGAGCTGGAAATCAAGTACTGGTAAGCAAAGAAAGGCTAGGAGGAAGCAAGGGCACCTGGGTGGTGGTGAGTGGGGCAAGATTTTCTGCCCAAAAATCCTTGTTTTTGACAGCCGATGCTGAAAGGCAGAGAAAGAGCTACTGGGAAGAAGCCAGTAGGTCCGGGAGTTGGGAATACCCTTTCTCCCCCGCCCCACCTGCCATCCCCCTTAAAAAAGGGGGCGGGTGGCTAAGTGAGAGACAGGGAGCCCTGCCAGGACTGGCAAGGGTGTGTGTGGAGAAGAGACGGCCTCACTCCATGCGTCTCGCTTCTTCCCGCCCCACCCCTTGATAAAGGGGGCGGGTGGCTAAGTGAGTGGCAGGACGCCAGCTGTGCCTGTATGACAAAGCTTGTGGCGGTGCTGCTGTTTGTGCATGCAACAGCACAACAAGCCTTGTGGAGTCCTGCTCCAAGAGGTGGTGGCGGTGCTCACAAAGACTCATTTCTGACGGAGTTTGGGGGAGAGAAAGAAAGACTTTGACAGCTTCTGCTGCTTTTGTTGTGCAGACAAAAATTTGCAAAAGGCAGGAAGGTGAAATGCCAAACTCAACCCATACTCACACCTTTTGTATGGGCCGCCCCCAAGCAGGGCGGGGGTGGGAAGGCCATTGGAGGAGCCCACCTGCTTTAGCTTCGCATTTGCCAGGGTGGCAGGTGCTAGATAGGTGCTGTCTGGAAGCCTCCCCGCTGCTTGGTTTGGGGCGGATGGTGCCTGGCAGGCCCAGATGCAGTGGGTGGGCAGGCGGGTGAAGCAGAGAAGAGAAATGGTGCAGAGGAAACCCTTTCAAACTGTGGTCATCGCCTGCTCCATAGCCACGAGGTGAGCTGTGGAACAGAGGGGCCCTTGGCAGAACAGAGAGGCCCTTGGCTGCAAGATTGCCTGGCGCCATGGGCAGGGCTAGGGTTAGCAAGAGTGCGCTGGAAATATCTCCATGCATCCGGAGAGACAGAACTCCCAGCCCTTGCTGGATCAGGCTGCGGTTAAGAGCAGCCATGAGATGACCAGGGAAGGAAAGGGCTGCCTCCTGTGCTGGCCACGCCCACCTTCACTAGGGCTTATTTTTGTGGTAAGGCGTATATGACTTCTACCCCAAAAAATTGGGCTAGGCCTTACTTTTTGAATGTCTTATTTTCGGGAAACACAGTATTACAATATGTAGAATATTAAATGTCAATATATTTTGTTTTACAATAGAAATTTCTGTCACAACAGCAGCATTCCAATAGTATCAATATTTAAACAATATAGCTTCAGACTTGAAATTTTATCTGGATATGTTGGAAGAATGAACTAATATATCTAGGAAATATTTTACAACAACTTTTATTGACTTTGCAACTATACTAATTTTACAATGAAAAAATTCTAGAAAATATGAGATATGTATATTTTTAAATTTCTATTACATCTAAATCTTAATTCATTATTTCTAATTAAAATGAATTCATAGGAAGAAATGTAATTAATTGCCACATTTTCTGTCTTGTAACATTTAAAAACAAAACTAATGAATATATTGATATTATTATTTAATAATAAAACTGACAGAACAGACAATAATATTCCTAGAAGCATTTAAACTTTATACACAATTATATGCTGTTGGGAAAATAATAAGGATCTTGTTTAGCAAGGAGGTCCATGATCAAAGATTATAAAATGTTCATACCTTGTTAAAGCAGGTGTTAAAAGGTCTCTATGTCCCCTGTTCATAAAAATCTGTATTATTTGAATAGTTTTGAATAGGAAATATGATTTTCTCATTTAAATTCCTGAAATCTGTCTTATGAAAAAATAGCCTATATTCTCTATCTTCTTCACTGAATACCATATTATTACTTCAGTCACATTCTTAAATTTATTACAAAGGTGTATACAAACCTCCTTATGAGGGTCCTTATGAGCTTCTAAAGTCTTCATTATTGTGAGTTCTGCATAATTTCTAAACCTTGCTGGTTGATGTCTTAAAATCTCTCTTAAGACTTTCAGTGCCAGGGCTCTAATTGCATGCTGAAAGTTTAAGGAATGTTCATTAGTTTTGCTCATATAACTTCCAACTCATTATTATTGATAATGGAACTATATAGTATTACATTCTTGAAATTTTATTCCAAACATTGAAGTTCTTTCTTCACAACCAAATTTGATAATGAATAGTATAGATTTATTTAATATTTATACATTACATATTATTTTAGTAAAATAGTAGCTATTAGTATTATTATTATTTATTTATTTAATTTATATACCACCTTACTCCCGAAGGACTCAGGGCGGTGAACAGCCAAACAGTAAAAATACATAGATACAAAATTTAAAAACAAAGTAAAATCGAATTAAACAAATTTGGCCCAAACGTATTAAAACCCCAATCATTTAAATAACCAATTAAAATTTGCGTAATTAAAAAGAGGGAAAAGATTAGGCCAGGCCTGCCTGGTAGAATAAAAAGGTCTTAAGAGCGCGGCGGAAGGTGCGTAGATCCGGGATCCTCCATATCTATATAAGATACAATAAACTATAATCTTATTGTAACTGCAAGGTGTGACTGTGATACACTTTATTAAGAGACACTTTACTTTTATGGACCTGAGATGCTGAAAAGTGTATTCTATTGTCTGTATTAAAGAATACAGACATAAAAAGCAATATGCACTGTTTTTAAAGTTCATAATCCTGACATAAATTCAAGGGGGACCCAAAGGTGCTTTTTAAAAAGGCAAGTTGACTTCCTTTGTGTTTCCCTGAAGACTTTTTGCTTCCCATCCAAGAAGCATCTTTAGTTCTGGATGACAAACGAAAAAGCTTTGAAAAAGCATCTTTGGGACAACCATGACCTGGATGACTGAGAATTTCCATACCAGAGGGACATTCAAGAGAGCCAAAATGATATAGCAGTTAAGGTGTTAGACTGGAAAACAGAGACTGTGAATTTTAGTCGTGCCATAGTTATGAAAGCCCGATGGAAAATTTTGCTGTAGTTATTATCTTTCAGATCAACACAGCTCACAATGTTATTATTGTGGCCAAAAGGGAATATCAGAACATTAGGTATGCCACTTTGAGTTGTGTGAAAATAAAGGCAAGTTATAAATTTAAAAGGGTAAGCAAAAAACTGTTATATGATTTTTCTTTCTCCATTTTGAGATTTACCTCTTTGTCGCCAAGAGTTTCAAGTAACAAAAGAAGAATTGTTTTGAAGTGCTCATCCCAAACACCAAAAGACTCCTCCTGAGTCAATTTCATTAGCTCATAAAGAGCAGTTTTCCGTTCTTCAGCTCTCTCATTATGGTTTGATAATTCCTTTAGCAATTCTGCGACTAGATCAGAATGGTCCAGGGAAGGTTCTGTAGCAAAAGAAAAAGTAAAATTATTTAATTAGTAAAAAGAGTAACCATTCTTTTTACTTTACATGTGAAGGTATATAATATTTATGAAACAATAGATAAAAACCATAAGATGGAACATAATCCCGATATTATATTTTATTACAAAATATGGCATTTATCATTAAAATCTCCTACTATGGACAAAGATGTTCTCTTCAGCACCTACTGGGAGTCAAGACTTTTTGGGAAAAAAAAAAAGCAAAAAGGACTACAGTAAGAGGACCATCTCTTTCTATAGAGTGCTATTAATGAAGCTACTTTTTAAGGCCAAATCAATGGGGAGAAAAGAAGATGAAGTTTCTGCAGTGATCACTTTAAGATCCTTACCTATTAGGCTATTCATTCTTATGGATGAAAACAAATATACGTGTCCCAGAATTTGATCTCACATCAAATAGTTCTTAATTTTTTTTATCCTATTTACCCTTTCCTGGTCTAAGATGTTATTACTTCCACAAAAATATCAGACTATTTATTTTACACAAGCATCTTAGCAATGGCACTCCCAAACAGGACCTGCAAGTCACAAACAAACCCAAACTGAAAATATGCCCAAATTACCCCTTGAGGGTAATCACCCCAGTTTAAGAACCAAAGATTTAGATCCTTTCTCCTCTTTTATCGGAAGGAAATCTTAAAAGACACTTAAAATATGCCATGTTTTCTTCTTAGGCTGCATTAACAAAGTATCAATAGAATTAATTCCTATTGTATATTGTAGGAAATACTATATTATCTTTCAGAAAAAGATGAACCTTAGATCCTAGAAATAAAATCTGCATGACTGCATGGGTAATATAAAATGAAAAGCACTAGAAAAAGGTAGTATCAGACCAATTCTGGTACAAAGAAAGCTAAATGGAAGTATCTATGATGAGTCAAGTGTGACTTGAAAAGAGCTATTTTAATCAAAACTCTAATAAAGTACAGTATATTAGATTGCTTACTTGGGCATACTCATTTTGTCCATATAAAAGTTACCTAAATAAATAATGATTATGCATTGCATGTATTGAGAGGGACTGGAAATCAACATTATTCAGGTGGCTGTTTATTTATTTCCAAAGCCATAATGTCTTTTATACTCTTTGAATAGGAATAGATGCCAGATTTACCTTTTATTATTTAATAAATCTTCTTCAATGTATTTTTGAATTAAATTTCATTTTGGAAAATAAAATAAGAACATTCAAATGTCTTTTACTGGAAGAAGTTTTTTTCTTAAGTTCCATTTAATTCCATTAAATTCTACTAGTACAATTGTTTTTTGTTTACTATCATTATACAATGTCCTATTTGGGAACAAATCTGGCAATGAAGTGTTAACAGATGCATCTCAGATGTTACATTTAATTTTTATAATAAATAAAACTTTGTTTTCACATAAAGCTCTTGAATATCGTATTTTCCTGCTATATATATAATTTATTTCCCTTAGTTCATATAATAATTCTAATTTTCCTCCCAATATACCCATTCCCCAATTCTGTTTGTGACAGACTTACCATCAGGAAACTGATCTGCATCATCATCAAACATAGCCTCTTTTAAAGCTGATTTATTAAAAGAACCAACACTATCAGAATAATTGTATGGATTATAATCACGTGACCGTGGGGAGGAATGAGGAGGCATAGTGTTAAGCAATGTGGTTTTGTTGTCAAGAACTGTTCGGCCTGTATCAGTCACACCAGTTCCTGTTCGTAGATCTACTATTCCAGACCCACTGCAAATCTAACAAAGACAGATACACATACCTTTAATAAAAATATATACAGATCATCTGCAGAGCTAGATAACTGTTTTAACATCAGATACTTTCAAAATATTATCCAAAATTGTTTTTAAAAAATTAAGGTAAGCAGATTAGTCAGAATAAAATACAGAATAACAGAGTTGGAAGGGAATTTGGAGGTCTTCTGCTCAAGCAGGAAAAACTATACTATTTCAGACAAATGGTTGTCCAAACTTGTCTTAAAAACTTCCAGTGTCGGAGCATTCATAACTTCTGGAGGAAAGGTGTTCCACTGATTAATTATTCTGTCAGGAAGTTTTTCCTTAGCTTGTTTCTCTCCTTGATCAGTTTCCATCCATTGTTTCTTGTCCTGCCTTCAGGTGCTTTGGAAAATAGGTTGACCCCCTCTTCGTTGCAGCCCCTTAGATATTGGAACACTGCTATCATGTCACCACTATTCTTTCTTTTCATTAAATTAGACGTACTCAATTCCAGCAACTGTTCTTTATATGTTTTAGCCTCCAGACCCCTAATCATCCTTAATCAAGAAATCCCCTTAATTAGTTCCCTAATTAAGGAGATTAAGGCATTAGTAAAAGCAAAAGAAAATTATTTCTAATCTGGTTCATATCAGATGTATGTATCTGCTAATATGCTGTTTTTATCTCTTTTACCATCTTACATACATCTGAAAAAATAGCAGAAATGTAGCTGATAGAGAGAAAAAACTGTGCAATCACAAAAATTAAAAATGCAAATAATTCTTATGTTAAGCGAGACCTGGCTATAATAAACCATTTAAACAAATATTTCTGCTCAGTCTTTTCAGAAGTAGTAAAGTAACAAAGTAACAAAATCAGATTGGGGGATCATACTAGTCCTAGCTGTGCAGGTTCTTTCCCAGGGTTTTTAGAGGTGGCGGCGCATGCACTTCTGAACCAATAGGGAAGGTAAGTAGATTTCACCCCTTTATTCATCCCAGAGTTCTAAAGGAACTTCTAGATGCTTGTTAGACCATTAACTGGTCTGTTTAACCAGTCTTTTATAACGGGTGAAATTTCCCAAGATTGGCAAACAACTAATATTGTACCTATCCAAAGGAAGGGGAATAGGGAAGAAGCTGGAAACTATAGGCCAATGATCTTAACAACTGTAGGAGCTGAAGTCCTAAAATAATAATAAAATTAAATTAAATTAAATTAAAATCTCACAATTTGATGGACTCAAAACAGCATCACTTTACTGAGGGCAAATAATGTCCAGATCATGTCAAACTAATCTGATTAACCTTTTTAAAACTATGTCACAAATGTCCACAGGCTATATCCACAGAACTGTCACAAATGTGACACTGTGCTGTGGACATCCTATTTGGATTTTAGCAAAGCATCTGATATAGTTCTACATAATGAACTCACAAAAAAGATATACAGGCTATGGCTTAACTGCTGGGTGGTTCAATAGATTAGAAGTTGGCTCAGGGATAGATCTCAGAGTGTGATTGTTTATGGAGCACTGTTTGAAAAGGGACCAGTCACAAGTGGTATATCACAAGGTTCAGTCCTAGTGTCAGATCTGTGTATCTGCCATTCTTCGTGGAAGAAGGGGGGGATTTGGATTTGTCACATTTAGTTCTCTTTCCTATATATCCTAAATATCCTATTTCCTGGTCCTCTTTGTATAAACTCTAACCTGATTTATAACTGTTGCCTGGCGCCAGTAATGCCTGGAGAATTCTCACCTCCTGGGAAATGAGAGGGGGGGGGGACGTGTGGATTGCAAGATGGCCCTGAGAAGCTCTTCTTATCTGCTTCTCAGAGAGGTCGGTATGATACCATCTTCACACCAGCAGATTGGTGAGAATCCACATCAGACGGTGGGGTGGGGTTCCTAATTCCCTTTATCCTGGACTATATACCCTGAGGGACCTCAGAGCTTGCTTTGAATTTTGACTTGCTTTCATCCCTTTTCAATAAAAGGTTCCTTTTGAAATACAAAGTTTTCAAGAGTTCGTACTTTCTTGGAAGTGGGGAGAGGTTGGTCTTTACATAAAGCAGATAGGATTTGCTAGGCTTGACTTTTTTACTGACAAAACAAAAGTGTGAAATAGAGTTGATATTCCTGGGGGTATCTGTAACAAAGAAAATGAATTGGCACTGCTGGCAAATTGTGAAAACTGCAGGTGTAATGTTTCTAACTCTAAGATCATGTACTTAGGGAAAAACAATTATCAGGCAGAGTATTGGGGGTACAGTGTTAGACAGAGCAGCAGAAGAAAAGAGTTTAGGTATGCTCATAGCAGATAACTACAAAATGAGCAAACAGTGTGCATTGCTAGAGGGATCACCAGCAAGAAAAACGAGGTTCTAATCCTGCTATAGAGCAATAGCTGTTAGACTTATATACTGCTTCATAGTTCTTTTACAGCCCTCTCTAAGCAGTTTACAGAGATAGCATTTTCCCCCCAACAATCTGGGTCCTCATTTTACTGACCTCGGAAGAATGGAAGGCTGAGTCAACCTTGAGCCAGTGAGATTTTAACTGCCAAACTGCAGGTAGCAGTCAGCTGAAGTAGCCTGCAGTGCTGTATTCTAACCACTGCACCACCTTGGCTCTTATATAGAGCTTTAGTCAGGCCCATTTGGAATTCTATGTCCAAATGTTCTGGAGACCTCACTTAAAAAAGGATATTGCTAAGATTGAGCAAATCTTGAGATGGGCAACAAAAATGGTGCAGGGTCTGAGGGTCTGAGGGACAAAACATATCAAGAAAGATTAGAGGAAATAATATGTACAGCTAGCAGGACAGAAGGGAAAGCGGGGGGCATGATTGAAACATTAAGCATATTAAGGGTGTGAAGATTCTAGAAGACAGTATTTTCAGTATTAACCAAAAATCAAGAACATGGAAGTAGAACCTCAAACAAACAGGAGGTAAGTTCAAAAGTAAAGTTAGAATGTATTATTTCCCAGAAAGAATAGTGGAATCTTGGAACCAACTTCCAGCAGAAATAATGAGTCAATCACCAGTAACTGAGTATAAACATGCTTGGGATTCATTGATGTGATGGGAATCATGGGATTCAAACATTCATTCATCAACTGTCAAAAATTAAGAAAAAAATATAATAATAATAAAGAAAGAAAGAAGAAAAAAATAAATTCAAAGGGCACTTTTGAAGGAGTACTACTGTATTTTTTGGACTATAAGACGCACCTTAATTTTTGGGGAGGAAAAAATCTGCCTCTGCCTACCAGCATCAGGATCAGCAGCGTCCTCATTTCTACTTGGATTTTGATAACGAGTAGCACAGATCTTTTTATCTGTTTAAAACAAACCCTATCACCCTACGCGCATTTAACTGGAGTGGCTGGGTTAGGTTGGGGAGTGATTTTCATGGGGGCAGAAAAGGGACTTGGCACCGAAGGCTCCACTCTCGAGACGCCCCCCCCCCCGTCTTCCTACCTATAGCTGTAGGCATTGAAAGCCTGGCTTTCTCGCTGCAAGGCCCGATAGAGACGCAGCACTTCAGTCCTCCTGGACGCTGCCATCTCGTAAACATGATGCCAGGCTTCCCGGCAAGTGCATCTTATACTCTGAAAAATATGGTAGGTCTTTTTCTGCCATCAGTTTTTTATGATTCTAAGATTCATTTGATGCAAATATATTCTTTTTCAGTTTTAAGCTTGTTTGTCCTTACACATACACTTTTATATCAACAGGTGATATTGCCAGTAAATGCAAACATAAAAAGGATTCAAAATGAGAAGCATTTTTTAAGCCTAGGGCTTAAAAATAATTATCTTATAATTATGTCTCCACATATTTTTTTAATTAGGGCTAATTCCCATTTACTTTGAGTAATGTTTACCTCAAAGAACATGCATCTTTTGTTTTCTTGCATATGGGCTGAAAAAAACAAGCACCCAAGAATATATCAGTATGGACCAATGGTGGGTTTCAACATTTTTTACTACTGGTTCTATGAGTATAGCTTGGTTGGCGTGGCTTGGTGGGCATGGCAGGGGACGGATACTGTAAAATCTCCATTCCCACTCCACTCCAAGGGAAGGATACTGCAAAATCCCCATTTCTTCCCGATCAGCTGGACTTGGGAGGCAGAGAATAGCTGGGGATGGGGCCAGTCAGAATTTTTACTACCGGTTCTCCGAACTACTCAAAATTTCCGCTACCGGTTCTTCAGAACTGGTCAGAACCTGCTGAAACCCATCTCTGATATGGACCCTGATTATTTTTCAATTTACAGATTTTTCCATTATACTTACTGAATCACCATCTTCTTTTTTTGAATCCCGTTTCAAAGGTTCATTCATATCTTCCTGACTGCGGAAGCTAAAGTTCTGAATTGCTTCAGTCACTCCACGGAGAGAACTATATATATCTTCTGAATTCATATTTTCAGAATCGTAATCAAATGCACTATGAAACAACAGCAATAAAAATATTGTGAAGCAGTTTTAATTTCAGCAATTGATGATTCTCTAATGAATATTTCTATGTGTTAATTTGTACATAAAACTCAATGGGAATTTAGTTGAGTGCTTATATTAAAATAAGTAATTAGGCTAGAAATAATATTTACATATATATGCCTCTTTTCGAGCTGTGGCAAACATTGCTAGATTAGAAATTTAGACAAGGAGCAGCTATTGTAACAGAGTTAAGATGGGGTTAATATTTTAGAAATAAAATATGATCACAAAGAACAGGTATGGAAGAAAACATTCTGCTGTTCATAGTGGGGATTTACAAGGGTAACCAGGCAAATAATGAGACAAATTAATATTTTTCTTTTAACAAAATATTTGAAAGTACTTCTAAGAAAGAAAAGGAGAAAAAGAAAGGGACAAAGAAATTTACAAACTATATAAAATTGAACATATTTCAAAATAAATGAATTATATGGTAAGCAGCAATAGGATTTTTGTGGAATTGATGTTTTAAATATTCTGTCACTATATTTTTCTTAAATTAAATTATGTTGCAGTTAATTCATATTTGTATTTAAATTGGTTGAAAACTTTGTGTTATTTAAATGTTACAAAGCTGAATTAAATGCAGAACTCTGTAAAATGGCTGATTCTGCAGGGAAAAACAATTTCTGCCACTCTTCAAGAAAAATCCTGGTGGAAACAAATTCATCTTTATCAGTGAAAGCTTTTTGTTGGGTGAGAGTCAGTGCTGGTTCTCAATTAATATTTAGTATCTTACCTTGGTGATAATGTGTTCTGGGATGTATTGGTTGGTGAAGTGATGGGGCTAGACCAACTAGCTGGTGAGCGTGGAACAGGCCTTGATAATGGGCTTCCCGTGGGCCCCTATAAAACACACATACATTCCTCATGAGTCTTTTGAACATTGTTACTGGATTTATACTTATAATGATATAAAAATCTCCGAAGAAGGCTTCATGCATTTTTCTAGAATAAAGACTCAAAGTTCCAATTTGAAAACTAACATAAAAATAACAATAATAAAAGAGGACTACTAAGTGCATATATGTGTATTAATTCAGCATAGTTTAATTATCTCTAGCTACTGTAAATGATTATAAATATACCTGTCCCCCATTGCCTGTATTCCGAAGGTGACTGTGAAGCAACTTTGTGGCACCATCTTGAAATGTTTTTGGTAAAGCACCCAACAACATTGTAAATTCAGGGGTATTGAGTTCAAAAAGAGAAATCAGCACTGATTGCGCAGCCTAGAAAAATGATAAAATAATTAAGACAGACTTGAAGGACAATTGTTGATAATTTCTTAATTATGGAATTGTAAAATATATTCACATTCAATGAAGCTCTTTTTTCTTCCCTGGACTTCCAATAACACATATCTCCGTTATGAAATTCTAAAATTATGATGAAATTTTAAAATATAATTACATACAAGTAAGCTAACTTTTTTTTCTTCCTTTTGGGTTCTTTATATTTCAGTAAAAGAAATACTAAACTCTGGGAGGGGTCGATCCACATAAATCATTCTGTAAAATGTTACATACATTCAATCCTTGAATTTGATATTCAATAATTTTGAAATCAGCACTTACTGTACATTTATTTTCAACTATAGCCTTAAAAGATACCCACAGCATTTTGCCAAAATAAATGGGCTGGGTTTCACTGCATACTGGGTGGCATTAAAAAAAGGCTTCTGTATTTGTTCTTCAGCTTTTTAAGAAATCAGATATCAGAAACCTCTACAAGTTGTGTGAATAAAGCCATCTTCTTATGACATTCGATGATGTACGGAGCATATAATGTGTTTTGCTAGCTTCTATAGTGAAGTGTAGTCCATGTATGATATACCATACTAGACTGTGATGTGAGTATAATCTGTTATTAGGCTTGTTAGATTCTAATATCATTTTTTTTCCTCATTCAGCAGAGCCTGGCTGTCATTTGTTTGTTTGTTTGTTTGTTTATTTATTTATTTATTTATTTATTAATTAATTATTTGTCAAACAAAAACAAGAACAAGAATAAAAGAAAAATACAATGACAGGGACAATAGGCATGTTAGTGCACTTATGCACGCCCCCTCTATTGACCACTTAAGTAAGTAAGGTCCATGGAAATCAATTTGAGACCGAAATTATGAAAATTTGTAGCTGAGACAACTGGATCAGGTAGAGCACTCCAGACTTTGACAACTCTATTACAGAACTCATATTGTTTACAGTCAAGTTTAGAACGATACATTAAGTTTAAAGCGCGTATTATTGCAATTAAAACAAAAAAAGTCATTTATAGGTAAAGCATTACTATGTATAATTTTGTATAGCAATATCTCTGACCACAAGCGACCAGTTCTAAGTTATCCAAACTGAGAATTTTGAGCCTAGTAGCATAGGGAATTCTATTGTGTACAGAAGAAAATTTTTTCTCGTAAAATATTTCTGAACCTGTTTGATTGTACTGATGTCAGATACATGGTAGGGATTCCAAGCAGTTGAACAATGCTCTAAGATTGGTCTAGCATGCATATTTATTTATTTATTTATTTATTTATTTATTTATTTATTTATTTATTTATTTATTTATTTATTTATTTATTTACTCATTTATTTATTTATTTATTTATTTATTTATTTATTTATTTATTTATTTATTTATTTATTTATTAAATTTATATACCGCCCTATTCCTAAGGGACTCAGGGCGGTGAACAGCGAACGATAAAAATACATGTAATACAAACGTTAATAAAAAACCAATTAAAATATACTAAACACTCTGGTCCTAGATAATTCAAGACATCCCAGTTTAAAATAAAATCAAAAAGCAATATAAAGGGAAAGTTAGGCCAGGCCGGCCTGCTTATATGTTTATAAGCTCTAATTAGTAATAAGATATTTCCAGGAAAAAACCTTCGCAAAATTAAATTTGCAATTCTTAATGCTTTTTTGGCAACGCTGTTACAATGAACTTTGGAACATAGGTCATCAGAAATAAGTACACCTAGGTCCTTGACAAAGTGAGGGTCATCTGCTAGATCAATACTACCTAGCTTATACTTGACATTCTGATTATATTTACCAATATGTAAGACAGAGTATTTATTAATCGAAATTTGAAGTTGCCAAATAGTTGACCATTCAGACACATAGTCGAGATCACTTTGCAAAACAACAGAATTATCTATAGTATTAAATGATTTTATGACATTGGCAAACAGGCCACAATTGCTTTTCAGTTGATCACGTAAGTTGTTGATATAGAACGAAAAAAGCATGGGACCTAAAACACTGCCATCCGGAACACCATTGTTAACTGATGCAGGATTAGACAACGAGTTCCCTATTTTGATTTTCTGCAGTCTATTAGACAGGAAAGCAGCAATCCACTTGTGCAAAGGTCCAGAAATGCAGTAAGAGTTTAATTTCAACAGCAGCTTATCATGTACTACTGCAGGGATGTCAAACTTGATTCCATTGAGAGCCGCATCAGGGTTGTGTTTGACCTTGGGGGGACGGGGTGGGCATGGCCAGCTCGATGTCACTCGTGTCAGGGCACCTGTGGTGGCCTGAGCACTCTGCCAGCGAAAAAGGGCTCCTGAGCTCCGTTTTTGGCTGCAACAGCCTCCTGTAACCCTCTGCCCATAGCCCTCACGAGCTCCATTTTCACTGGCAGAGGCACTGCGGTTTCCAGGTCAGCCCCATGGGCCAGATCTAAACACCCCGTGGGCCAGATCTGGCCCCCGGGCCTTATTTTGACATCCCTGTACTACTGTATCAAAGCCTTACAAAAATCTATGTAAATTGCATATACAGCTTTACCTTGATCAAGACATGTAGTCCAGATGTTTTTACAGTGCAAAAGTTAAATTACAGGACAGGTTTTTCCTAAAGCCAAACTGTTTGTCAGGTAGCAAGTTGTTTGTTTCTAAGTGGTGAATGATGGATTGTTTTATAATTGATTCCATAACTTTGCATGTAACACAGCACAAAGAGATTGGTCTATAATTTTCTACTGAACTAGGGTCACCCTTTTTAAAGATTGGTGTAACTATAGCTGATGACCATAGATCAGGTAGAGAACTAGTTCAAAACGATACTTCAAAAATTGTACACAAAGGTTCAGCTAGGACAGTAGCAAGCTTTTTCAAGAAAAAAGCACATAATCAATCTGGTCCTGTAGATAGTGATGACTTTAGATTACATAATGCTGATTCAATATTATCTACTGTAAATGTAATGGGTCTTGGGAGCCAGACACATACAGAAAAGATGTGCACTAGTCTCCAGATAAATTGCAGCTGCAACCTTTTATTGGGGGTATGGAATGCAGTGAATGTTCCAGTCACTGTTGACTCCTGGTGATTGCCTGGATTGAGCAAGATTTTAGAACAGCCCTTGTAATAATGCCAGTCTCAGAAAGTCTATGTATTTAGTCAGTTCCTAGGATATGGCCTGATGAGTCAAGGACAGTGGTGAAATCCAGCTGGATCTATCCAGCTCGCGTGAGCCGGTAGAGCTGGCGGCGGGAGGCTCCGTTCACCCTCTGGGGTCCCATTTTTGACCCGCTGCACATGCGCAGAAGAGGCGTACATGGTCACATTTCCTAACCAGTAGCGAAGGTAAGTGCATTTCACTGCTGGTCAAGGACAAAGGTTAACAGTAACAACAGAATGCCCCGACAAGTAAAATCAAATATTTTTTTGCATTCCACATCTGTTTAATTACTAAACAAATTCCCCACTGAATAGCTGTGCTTGTAGCACAGTCAGAGGTACCGTGTTTCCCTGAAAATAAGACCTATCCTGAAAATAAGCCCCAGCTTCATTTTTTTCACATGCACCCAATATAAACCCTACCCCCAAAATATGCCATAGTTAAGACCCTGCCCATTCTGTGGTGCATGGGGTGAAGTGAGGCGCATGGGTAAAAATTCTGGAAAGGTCTCTGCAGTTGAGAAACGAGGTCCGGATTGATACACCTGTCACTCCTGGCCTCTGTTTCACCATCAGAGGCCCTTCCGGATCAATCTGGAGCTCTGCAGAGGCCTTTCCTGAAGACCTCTGATGGCAAAACGGAAGCCAGGGGTGATGTGTGCAAATGGCTACAAGTGGCCACAGAAAAAGTGGGCTGACAACGGGTTCCTGGTGTCAGTGCTGCCGCCGCGAGGTGAGTCAGTAGAAGACATCCCCTGGTGCCTTTTTTGGTGGCAAAAAAATAAATAAAAATAAGACCAGGTCTTATTTTCAGAGAAACATGGTATATATTTCAAGAAGGGAGGCAACATACATGCACTGCCTCTGCAATTTATTTAGTGATTGAGTTTCCAATCTTGCACATCTGGCAGATTCTGATACTCAATGTATAGCTAAAGAGTGTATTGTGGTCTATATGTTAGCCCTACTTTTTTGAAAGCCACATAATATAAAGAGTAATTCTTTATATTTATAATTCTACTTCCAAAGGAGGCACCTTCATGTATTACATTTCATGCAATGACAATTTATATATATATAAGATGCACCTGACCATAAGATGCACCTAGGTTTAGAGGAGGAAAACAAGAAAAAACCATATTGGGCGGAGCCTGAGAGGACCGCAGATAGATGTCCTCTCATGTGCCAGCTCTACCTATTGACTTCTGCACTGCAGAAAAGAGACAGAAGAGGTGGACAATGACAAAGACAGAAGAGGTAGGGTTCAGCACTGTAAAAGGAACCTCCTCCATGGCCCAGCTGCTATTCACCAAAGGACTGGCACCGACACACCGACATTTCCACCCACTTTTGGGGAAAAAAAGTGTGTCTTATGGAGCGAAAAATACGATATATTGGCAAATATATTTCCAAATCAGTTAAATAGAAATTTGCATGATTTAAATTCATCTGTTTATATTATATTAGGTCAAAATTCTGCTTGGTTATTGTCCTTCACAAAAGTCAACAAACACATATTTTTTTTTTCAAAATTATTATGGATAATCAATATCATTTTATTGATATTAAAATATTAATGTAGAATTCAATACAATAAATGATAAATGAAAGTTCTTAAGAAATAACTTTACTCATGTTAACATAATTTGAAATACCTTCCTAACATCTGAACTTTTGGGTTCTGTTGTCCAAGTAATAATTCGAGATACAGCCAGACGAGTTTCACTTGAATTTACAAAATCTCCTGGGTCCATCTGTTGTGCAAGTGTCTCTATGTATTTAAGGATTGCAACTTTCACCTGTAAAAATAAAAATAATCAAATATACAGAAAAGTATAATATCTAGTGACAAACATATGAGAATGGAATTATTTTACTTGAGAACCACACAGTAATTCTAGTTGATGCTAATAGCAGCAATTCAGAAATATTACTTTTTAGAGCAGCAAATCAGTGGATCGGATAAAAAACAGCATTTCAGTGAATTAGCTGATAGAACCTTGAGCAAGAATCCTTACCAGTAACACCTGTATAATTCAAAAGCATATTTTGACTTCAAAATGCAAAATAAACAATTCAAAGAACTTTAAAGGTTATGCGGCAGAAAGGCAAAGAATTACAGAAAATATTTCTGCATACTTCCAGGTTTTTTCTAAATGGAAGTTTTTTTGATGCTAATTAATAAGCTACTTTTACATCTGAAATTCTAAAATAATTTTAGGTGTGTGTAATTGAGAACAGCTTTAGGATCCTACAGGATATTAAACATATAGTAGTGCCTTAAATTTAATGAGTTAACTGGAATTAGGATGGATTTTTGAATATGTAATTCTTAAAGTAGGCAAAGTAATCTAACCTAAAGTAGTTTATTGAAAATGTATTTGAGAGTACCCATTTTAAGAGAAAGTTAAAGAAAATAATATATCAGTTTAAAGAAAAACTCTCTGTGTGAATGTTTATAAAAGAAAAAAAATATTCTATAAGGATAGTTTGGAGGGAGGGATCTAAATGCAATACTGAAGTTTAAAGTTTGCATGTTAAGCATTCAAAGAAAAAAATGCACTAGAAAGTTTTGACTTAAAACGTGTTTTAAAAACGTTTAGCATTTTAAAAAAAGGGTGAGGGAAAAAAAGAGTTTTTTTCCCCTTTCTTTAAGGTCAAAGAATTATAAAGAACACAATGAATCTTGTTAATAAAAATGGTGACAGAGACAAAGATTATTAGGTGCAAGTAGACATACATACTATTTCCATAAAAAGGAAGCTAAAGCAGGAATGGTTAAATTGATTATTTTATTCAAAGAGGAAAATACAGTATATTTTCACTTGGCTATCACTTCTAGATTTTGTGCTTGTGATGAAAAAAAAAGAAACTTTGACCTTTGTTGATCAGAAAGAATTGTCATTATAGAAATGGCTAGTTATAGTGTAAAAAAAAGTTGAGGAGGGCGTGTTTTTATCTTGTACTGTGCTAAGAGTCAGAAGTCAATGTCTTTTTTTTCTTTTTCTCCTCTTTTATATAATGAAACAAATAAAAAGTTGAGAAAAAAAAAGAAATAAAAATTATAATGGAGCCGAGGTGGCGCAGTGGTTAGAGTGCAGGCTACTTCAGCTGACTGCTAGCTGCCAGTTTGGCAGTTCAAATCTCACCAGCTCAAGGTTGACTCAGCCTTCCATCTTTCTGAGGTGGTTAAAATGAGGACCCAGATTGTTGCGGGCAATATGCTGACTCTGTAAACCACTTAGAGAGGGCTGTAAAAGCACTATGAAGCGGTATATAAGTCTAAATGCTATTGCTATAAAAATATAGTACTGCCAAAAATAGATGTCCTAGCACCATAAACACATCCAAGTCTGTAATGATTTTTTAAAAAGATGATGGGTTTTTAGATAATTTTAGCAACAGTTTTTACCTAGCTGAAAACTGGAATATATGTGGAATAGATACAGAATGGAATGCGTCAATAAGCTTCTAATAGATTTGAATTAAATATAAAAATAATTTCTCTTATGCATCTGTTTACTGGACAGAAAAGATTTAATTCTGGTATATAAATTCCTTTAAATATTCTGCTAAAATGATCCAATAAGTCCTTTTCCTTTGCATACATATTATGAATGTTTAATTTCTGAGAGACATAGATGGGAAACCCATTCGCAGCAACACCAAGATTCAAAATATAATTATCTTTTCCATATGAAACATATAAATTATTCATATCAATTGTTTACATGACTGTTCTTTTAAATTGGGTTTTAACAATTAAACAATTCTTATTCAACTCTTGTGCATGACTGTGACCATTTACATATCATCACACTAATGTTCTCCTATACGCTATATAATTTTACAGAATCTACTATCTGTTATTTCCCTTTTTTTCTATCTTCAATCCAATTATAATATTTCTCCCATATTACGTAAAAATCTGAATCCATCAGTCCTTTCAGTTCCAATGTCATTTTATCCATCTCGGCGCAATCTAATATCTTTCTAATTATTAAATCTTTGGAAGGTATGTTTTAACTTCTCCAACATTGCGCAAATGCCAATCTTGCCACCGTTGTCATATGTAGATAATATATGTTGTTGTTTTTTCATATTTCTTTTTCATTATTCCTAGAAGAAACAATTCTGGTGTATATTCTATCTGGAAACCTGTTACTTCCTGTATCCAACTATGTATTTTCATCCAATATTTTTTTTGTTTCGGAACGTAACCACCATGTGTGAAAGAAGGTACCTTGCTTTTGTCCACATTTCCAACAACTGGGGTTTAAATTTGGATATATTTTTGCCAGTCTAGAGGGTGCCAAGTACCAACGGTAAAACATTTTATATTGATTTTCTTTTTGCCAATCTGGTTAATTTATAATTTTTGTTCCAAATTATTTCCCAATCTTCTAGTTCGATATTATGTCCAATATTCCTAGCCCAGGCTATCATAGCTTCTTTTACTATGTCTTTAGCTCTGTCAAATTCTAGTAAATAATTATAAATTTTGGTTACTAATTTTTCATCTGGAGCAATCAATATTTTATCTAATTGTTTTAGTAGAATTTCAATGCCATATTCATGTTTATCTTTTATATATCTTGATTTTAATTGTAGATAAGGCCACCAATCTATATTTATTCCCTGTTCTTCCAATTCTTGCCTACTTTTTAGATTCCCCTGGTTATCTAAAATTTTGCTGTATTTTACCATTTTACTTAAGGATGGATCATTGCTTCCATCGTCGAAACCCAATTAGGGATTTTCATGTAATGTTTTTTCTTAATTTCATGCCATGTTTGCATTAGAGCTTCTCGTATTCTCCATTGTGGGTGGAGACAGCAGTCAGGCATGGGTTGTACTACTCTGTTCAGATTGAAGGACTGAGTCTGTCATAGTTGTTAAGTCCCACCCTTGTTGGTAGGGGCTTCTAGCTTTTGACTCAGTCCTTCAGACTGGACAGGCGTGTGGGACTGTTTCTCTGCTTTGTGACTGCTTATTTCCTTAGGAATTTGGACTGTGTGTTTTGCTCTTCTGACTGTGAGTGAAAGAGCTGATCCATTTTGTGGATTGTGCCCTTTTTTCCCTGGCAGCTCGCTTCGGCTTGACTGCTTGGGGTGGGTTTTTTTTTTTTTTTCCTAGCTCCCTGTATTCTACCATCTGTTTTTTTCCCTCTGTTGAACAGGCAGGCATTCCGGAATGGCATGGAGCTTTGCGCTCCTGGGGGGAGCTAACTGTTGGATTTCGTGGAGTTTCGCGCTCCCACTAGCTGGGGTATTACGTGGAGCTTTGTGCTCCCCTGAGAACTTGTCGGGCAGCCTTGGGGCGGTTCTGGCCTTTTATTTACAAAGCGGAGCTTTGTGCTCCCCTCTGCTTGAGTGTGGCTCTCCTTTGAGCTTGTGATTGACAGTTGCCGTTCACACTCCGCTTTTTTGCCGGCCTGCCTTGCTCAGCCTCACCGATTTCGACGTTCTCCGTCCTGTCTTAACGGAGGTGGCCTTGAGAGCCTTAGTTCCATTTTAGGATTGCTGTGCATGGCAGTCCTTTAGAGAGCTTCGCGCTCCCACTTCCAGCCTTCTCTTGCCAGCCCCATTTTGTTTTGCCGCCAAACATACTTCGTGCTCCAGTTACAACCTTCCTTTGAGGATTTTGCACAATATCTGCACGATAAAATCACTCAGATTCGGGAAGGCTTGGACTCTATAACTGGGTTAATTCGGATGAAATGACGAGGGCAGATCTTGAGGACATTATCTGGGATGAGTTTGATACTGTGACTCCTGAGGACGTGGACAGGTTACTGGGGAAGTTGAATGCGACCACATGTTTATTGGACCCGTGCCCTTCCTGGCTAGTGCTGGCTACCCAGAAGGTTACACGTAGCTGGCTCTAGAGAATTATTAATGCTTCTCTGAGCGATGGATTCTTACCTCCCGCCTTGAAAGAGGCTGTGGTGAGACCCCTCCTTAAGAAGCCCTCTCTGGATCCGGCTGTTTTAGTAAACTACCATCCAGTCTCCAACCTTCGCTTTTTAGCAAAGGTTGTCGAAAGTGTGGTGGCACGACAGCTCCCACAGTACCTGGATGAAGCTGTCTATCTAGACTCGTTCCAGTCCGGCTTCAGGCCTGGATACAGCACAGGAACAGCATTGGTTGCGTTGGGTGATGATCTCTGGAGGGCTCGGGATAGGGGATGTTCCTCTATTCTAGTACTATTAGATCTCTCAGCGGCTTTTGATACCATTGATCATGGAATCATGCTGCACCGGTTGGAGGGGCTGGGAGTGGGGAGGCACTGTATTACGGTGGTTCTCGTCCTACCTCTCTGACAGGTCACAGTCAGTGTTGACAGGTGGACAGAGATTGACCTCGAGGCCCCTTACTTGCAGGGTGCCACAGGGGTCAGTCCTCTCACCTCTCCTGTTGAACATTTATGTGAAGCCATTGGGGGAGATCATCCGTGGTTTTGGGGTGTGATGTCATCTGTACGCTGATGACACTCAGCTGTACATCTCCACCACAAACCACCCCAATGATGCCCTTGAAGTGATGTCCCGGTGCCTTGAGGCTGTACGGGTCTGGATGGGGAGAAACAGGCTTCAACTCAACCCTTCCAAGACTGAGTGGCTGTGGCTGCTGGCATCCCGGTACAGCCAGTTAGTCCCATCACTAACTATTGGGAATGAGTCATTGACCCCCACAGAGAAAGCTCACAATTTAGGCATCCTCCTGGATGCACGACTGTCTTTAGAAGATCATATAACAGCCGTGGCCAGAGGAGCTTTCTATCAGGTTCGCCTGATTCG